TGTTTCCCCTTCCTCTCATGGGATAAATAAAGTTCGATGACGACTCTTCTGTCTTTTCATTCTCGCCTCTCTGTCGTTGCATTTTTTCGAGTAGCGACATACCTTCTTACAAGACTCACTGCATATGTTATGTCAGGTCTAGTACATACCATATCATACATCAAAGAACCTACTATGTTAGCATATGGAATGCTATTCATATAAGTTATTTCAACATCAGTGTTGGGACACTGATTTATACTCAGCTTGAATTGAGGGTTTGTCGAAGTCACAACAAGATTTAAATTCGACATACCATACTTTTCGAGAACCTTCTGTAGGTATGCCTCTTGAGATAAGCATACTTTCGACTGCTTTCTATCTCTCCGAATATCAATCCCAAGAATCCTGGACACAGCTCCCAGATCCTTCATGTCGAACTCTTTATTGAGTTCAGCCTTCACCCTCATTACATCTTCGACATTGTTGCTTGCCATTAGAATATCATCCACATAGAGCAACAAAATAAAAAATTAGTTACCCGGTCAAAATCTGAAGTAAACACAGTGGTCGAACTGACTTCTAATGAAACTTATGGGTGCCATGAACTTGTCGAATCTCCTATTCCACTGTCGAGGATATTGTTTCAGTCCATATAAGGATCTATTCAGCTTGCACACATAATCTTCCTTCCCTTTTTCGACATACCCTTCAGTTTGCCTCATCAGAATTGTTTCATTTAAGTCACCATACAAGAATGCAGTCTTCACATCCATCTTTTCAAGTTCAAGGTCGAACTATGCCACTGTGGCAATCAACATTCGAATGGATCTGTGTTTCACAATAGGAGAGAACACATCATTGAAGTTGATACCTTCTTTGTGAGTGAACCCCCTAGTAACCAATCTTGCCTTGTATCTCTTCGACATCACTCCTTTGATTCCTTCCTTAACTTTGAAAATCCATTTACAACTGACTAACCTGGCTCCAACATATTTCTTGATCAGTTCCAATGTGTTGTTATCATGAATAGATTTCATCTCATCATCCATGGCCTTCAGCCATTCAGTCTTCTTTTGACTCCTCATAACTTCCTTATAGTCTTTAGGTTCTTCATCTAGAACCTCACTAGCAGAGATTAAGGCATAAGTTATAAGATCTGCATACCCAAGTCTCTGAGGTGGCTTGATGACTCTCCTAGACCTGTCTCTTGCTAGTAGGTAGTCATTATCAGTCTCCTCATCTTCGACAACATCTTCTGCATCTTCTTCGACTTCATCTAGGGTATGCAATTCAGCATCAGCATGCTCTACCTCAACAGGAATCTCTCCCTATTCCAGCTCTTCGTCAGCATCATTAGTTTTCTTGAAAGCCATCTTTGCTTCATTGAAAACTACATCTCGACTAGTGATACACCTCCTGTGACCTGGCTCTAGGCACCATAACCTATAAGTTTTGACTCTTTCAGGGTATCCCATGAACATGCATTTCAGATCTTTAGGTTCGACCTTGTCTTGCCTAATGTGAGCATATGCCACACAACCAAATACTCTCAGTCTGTCGAGACTAGGTGAATGTCCCGACCAAACTTCTTCAGGTGTCTTCATTCTCAAGACAGTCGAGGGACATCTATTTATCAGGTAAGCTGTTGTCGAAACATCTTCCGCCTAAAACACCTTCTTCAATCCAGCACTAACCAACATGCATCTAACCGTTTCAAGGATTGTTCGATTGAATCTCTCAGCTAAGCCATTTTGTTGAGGAGTACCTGCTACTGTCTTATGTCTTGCAATCCTAGGCTCAACACAGTAACTGTAGAACATTTCATTGCAGAATTCAAGGCCATTGTCGGTTCTCAACCTCTTAACCTTTCTGCCAGTTTGAGTTTCGACCAAAATCTTCCAACTGTTGAAATTCTCAAAAGTTTTATCCTTCGTCTTCTGAATGAATACCCATAGCTTTCTGGAATAGTCATCAATGATGGATAGAAAATACCTTGCACCCGAGTGTGAAGAATTCCTTGCAGTCCCCCAAAGATCAGCATGAATGTAATCCAGGGATCCATGTGTTCTTTGCCTGCCTTTGTTAAACTTCGTCCTACAGGATTTACCAAATACACAAGATTCACAAAACTCCAACTTTTCGACTTTGTCACCTTCTAGCAGGTTCTGCTTCCCCTATTCGACCAGGTCTCTTTCGCTGACATGGCCCAATCTCATGTGCCATAATTCTGTCTTCGACACAGGTTTCATGGATGCAACATTTGTCGAACCACTTACAACCTCATCCTCAAGGGTATACAAGCCTTCTTTCTTCACGCCTCTCAAGACTTCCTTCGACCCCTTCATGACACTTAGGATATTTTTCTCTCCATGAAAAACATATCCCTTTCTGTCGAATTCACCAAGAGAAATCAAATTTCTCTTCAAGTCAGGTACATACCTAACTTCAGTCAATAACCTTATTGACTCATAATGAAGCTTGAATCTCACAGATCCAATACCTACAATTTTGCAAGATTTGTTGTTTCCCAACATCACATATCCACCATGTTGATCACATAGCTCCTCGAACAATTCTCTGTTTGGAGTCATGTGCCAAGTGCAACCTGAATCCATAATCCACTATTTTTTCGAGTCGCCACTTAAAACCACAAGAACATCAGATGAGTCGAAGTCATCTTGAATAATGGTGGCGTTGCCATTACCTCCATGATCTTTCAGGCGTTCAGGGCACACCTTTCTTATGTAACCCTCCTTCTTACAGTGACAACATCGAATACAAGATGTTTCGCCACTATACGACTTTTGTTGACTTTTACCTTTCTTCTTGTCGAACTTACCATCCTTTCGCAAGAATTTCCCCTTAACGGCCAAACCTTCGCCCACCGCCGAAGGTTTATGCTCCTTTCGTTCGTTCAAGTCCTTAGAATACAAGGTTGATTGTACTTCTTCAAAGGTCAGACACTCCCTTCCATACAAGAGAGTTTCTTTGAAGTGATCATGTGTTCTGGGCAAAACACAGAGCAGCAATAGTGCTTGATCTTCATCATCGATCTTCACATCAATATTTTCAAGATCAAGAATCAGCTTGTTGAATAAATCCAACTACTTAGCCAACACTTTGTCTTCACTCATCTTGAATGAATACAAAGCTTGCTTCAAGTAGAGTCGATTCACCAGAGATTTGGTCATGTACAAACTTTCAAGTTTCACCCATAATCCCGATACTGTAGTCTCCTTTGATACCTGTCGAAGAACCTTATCACCAAGGCTCAACAATATTGCACTGTGGGCTTTCTCGATCATGCCCGTCTTTTCTTTTGCCATTAACACAACGTCCATGGCTACCTCACCCTCCAACGCTTCCAAACAACCCTGCTGAACCAGTAGGGCTTTCATCTTCAAGCGCCACAGACCGAAGTCGTTCACTCCAGTGAACTTTTTAATAATCTCATACTTTGTTGAAGGCATCTTCTCCACGTTCACCGCACCAATTTGTTGTGAATCGGATACCTTGAGACAAAATATAAACAGTTTCCTCTTGATCAAGAAACACACAAGAGTTAGGTTAACAAAGAAAACAAGGTAAAACAACAAGGAACAACAAGGATTGATTATTAAACTGGTATTCTTTCATTTCTCTTAGAATAAGATTACAAGTATACAAGAATAACAAAATAACTTCTTTCTCTTGAAATTAGGATTTTATCTTCCTATTTTTCCTTATGATAAGATTGAGAAACTAGCATCCTATTTATAAGAAAAATAACACACTAACCTAATGGGTTTCTTTAACAATTACCCATTACAAGCTAACTTATGGTACAAACTAACTTAAACAATTGAGTTTACAAGCAAGACCCAATTCAACATGCTAACAACCCTAGCAATATTGACTAATTTTTTTTAGAATGATAATACAAACTTGTTTTGAATTATTTATAAAATTAACTTAATAAATAGTAACAGTATATATGATAAATATATTTCACTAAATAAAAAATAAATTTTTTAGAAAACTACTTTTATAAGAATAGATAATTGAAAATTGAATTTAAGAATTTAAATTAATTCACTCATAATTTAATATTCTTATGAAAAATTATAAAAGTTAACTTTTATAATTTTTCATAAGAATATTAAATTATGAGTGAATTAATTTAAATTCTTAAATTCAATTTTCAATTATCTATTCTTATAAAAGTAGTTTTCTAAAAAAATTATTTTTTATTTAGTGAAATATATTTATCATTTAAAATATATTTTCATATACTGTTACTATTTAAAAATATTTATTTATTAAAAAAATATCATATTCATTATTTTTTTTATGAGAGACGTATCACTTATAATAAAGAATGAAATAATATATAATTTTCAATATATGTTTATTAATACTGAAAATATGTCAATTCTTTAAAAAATACTAATACTAAAAATATGTTAATAAATAAATTAGAATGGATTTTTATGAATAGTGGATGAATTAAGTTCTTTTAAAGAACTTTTAATAGTACATCGTTTTGACATATTTCTTATCTTCTAAATTTGAATCTAAATTAGTTAATTATTCCATTTTGCCACTCTTAATAATAATATTATTACTAAGAATAATAATTAAATTACTCTATGAATGTAGTCCAAAATAAAAGAAAAACAGAAATAATAATAATAATAATAATAATAATAATAATAATAATAATAATAATAATAATAATAATAATAATAATAATAATAATAATAATAATAATAATAATAATAATAATAATAATAATAATAATAAAATTATTCTAGGTATGAAGCCCAATCCATTTTGTGACAAAATTAAAAAATTCCAATCTATTTTCCCCCATAACTTTGTTTTTCTTAAAAAAGCTAATATCATCTCTTTTGGTACTATTCCTACTACTAGTTTTAAAAAAATGTATCACCAAGGGGACCTCTTAGTTATTTAGGATCTATCTACACAAATTGCAAAGGCAACGAAGGTGACAGAACAAGTCACACTATGACGCACGCTCACTGCTGATTCATCGTGACGCCGACATCAGCGGCGAGAACGGTGGCGGCGGCTTCTTCCATATCAACCCCAAGCGAGTACACCACATCTTCCCTACTCCATCCCGCACCTAATAACTTCAACCCCAAAAAACTCACGTGCTGCGCACGCTTCTCCCTTTCTTCTTCCTCCTCATTCATCATCTCGAGTATTTCTTCCTCTCTCCACCCACCTTCCCTCAACCTCTGCAACACCCCATCCATACACCCACCCAATTCGTCCCTCCGATCATCCCACCACCACTTCCACTTTCTCTCCCCTCTCCCATCCGCCACATCCGACCAAACCCCAATGCTCCTCGCCTTCGTCGCCGCCCAAACCGGATCCTCCACTTCCTCAACTCCGTTCAAAAACCCCGCATCACGAAAAAACCCAACAACATCAAAGCTCGCTAGTCTAACATCACCACCATGATCAATGTAAAAAACCGGATTCCCAGCAGTGTTAGGAGACGAAACTATATAACAATGTCGATACACAGGAATAAGCCTTGGTGCGCCGTTCAAAATTCTTTCCGCAGAAGCTAAAGGATCTTCCGGTAGTGGACCCCACGAGGGATGCCAGAAACGGTTATCTGAAACACGACGCAGAATCGAGGATACTGGAAGGTTGAGAAGAATTCGAAGTTGTTGATGAGAGGATGAACGCCAGTTGGGAAAGCCTGGTGAGATAGGAAGACCCTGTTGGAGAATTGCGCGAAGGTCAGGTGGGAAAGTTATGTTGAGTTTGGATTCGAGAAATAAAAATTCAGTGTCGGAGAGTCCTTGTTCGATGATGACGTTGGAGGATTTGAGACGGTGTATTAGGTTGTTAGCGTATGTTGTGAATGAGAAACATATTCTTCGTTTGGGTCTAGGTGGTTTTGAAAGTGATGTTTTTGTTCTGTCGTCATCGTCGTTGGTGATGACGGTGGTGGTGGTAGGATCGATCATGGTTGTTGTTGTTGCATGAGTGAGAATAAAAATGAGATCAGTGATTGCGTTACTTTACGTAGTCATCACATCACTGTTGTGTTGTGTTTTATTTTGGAGAGAATGAGGTGTTGATGAGTACTTATATTAAGATTTAGATTTAGAGAGAGAACGTATGTGTTTGACTGTCTCTATTTTTGTTTTTTTTTTCAATTATCATTGAGATTATAATATTGAATAAAGTATATATTTTTGGTCCAAAAGAATAATGCAAAAGTGGAAAAAAAATTGGTACATGGTTTTGCCGTGTATAGTTACTCTAGATATGTTTATGAAAAAATTGAAAGAATTAAATATAAGTGATATAATGTTAAATATTGGAAGGTGAGTAAGTATTTAAGAAAAGGAAAATGTTACTAATGTTATCGATAATATACTCTTTCTAGAATATTGAAATATAAATATAAAATATTTTTTGAGATAACTATAATAGACTACAAATGGATTTTTTTTTAAAACTAGCCATGTATTATAAATAAATTATCATTTAAAAGTCATTTTTAAAAAATTTGCGAATTCAACTACGTTCAATTGACGATATAGGCAAAATGAAAGACGAAATTCAACAAATTCGCCAATTCAATTGACGAATGAGGCAAAAATAATTTGGGCTGAAACAAAGTCGCCGATACATTTGGCAACATAGTTGTTGAATTAGGGTTTTGATTTTTCCTTTATATTTTAAAATTTGATTATTCTTTTAGTTTAATTTTAATTGTAACTTTTAATAAATATTCTTTTAGTTTAATTTTAGTTGTAACTTTTAATAAATATTCTTTAAGTTTATTCTTTTTAAATAAATATTAATAAACATTAAATTTATTATTAAATTTATAAATAATTTAATAAATATTTTAATTACTTATTAAATATATTAAGTTTATTATTAAATTTATTAATATTTTAATGATCTATTAATAAATATATGTCAGGAAATTATTTTGTTTGTTTTTCATAATGAATTGAAATTTAAATAACCTTAAAATAATATAGACATGTTAAAAATATTAAAATATATTAATTTACAATATAATTAAAATTACAACAAAAAATAAAATAATGGTTGACTCTATCCAAGCGACCACCGATGCCACACTGCGGGGGATGCGCGTTGCGACGAGGTCTACGACGAGGTTGCTGTGGTGTGTCTGGTCGTTGTGTGTTGAGTTGTGGAGGAGGGTTTTGTTGGGACGGCCCCGACGTAACAGATAGATTTTGCAGCATTTGACCCAAATAGTCGGTAGGTCCACTGTGAACGGCGCTGCCGTAGTCAAGCTCAATGCCCATGTTTTCGAAGGATTGTCGGGGAGGTTGGGTGGAGTATGAACGGTATGGTTGTCCGAATGTGTACATGGAATTGGGTTGGTCTAGGTGTGTTGGTTGTTGTGGGGGTGTGGTAGTCAAATGAGTTGTTTGGGCTATAAGTGGAGGGGGTAGGCTCAAAAGAGATATCAGGGCTATAATGGTATGTTGGTTGAGGCTGAGACTGGGTGGGTGACATGTAAGGATGTTGTTGTTGATAGGGGGTATTTGTTGGGATGTATGGGTTTTCGTAAGGCTGATTTTGGGCGATGAACTGTTGTTGGTGTTTGACGATGAAGCGCGTTCCCTTGGGTCGACCAAATAGGTTGGCTGGGACAGGAAAGACTGAGATGTCATGACAGACCTAAACCAAGTCATATATTGAAGACTTGGCCTAGCCCCGTGCACAATATGGTCGGTTAAGACGTGTTGCCTTTTTCTATTCCAGTGTTTACGCAAGTCCTTTGCAAACTCCTTCCAATCACTAACACTCCACTGTGAGTCCACCCGCTTTTGATGCCACTGCCCCAACTCTACCGGAGCATCTGGAATATCCTGATGCATCCCAAATTGTAGCTTCACCCGGTCACTTTGGTGCATCTCCACCGTAGTGAACCTAATTATGGGTGTTCTTGATGTCCACACAACAACATCATCGGGGTTGGGCTGGTGGTCGAGACCCTTGTACGGCATCCAGACAAACTACAATAAAGGTGGACAAATGAGTTAGACAAAGATATACAAGTTTATGCATATACATAATAAAAATTAAAGGTAAATAACTTACATCATCTGGCCCAAGGTGGTCGATGAGGTTGCGATATTGAATTATAGAGTGCCTAGGACATCTCTGATAATTCATCCCTGGAACAGACCACCTAAAAATAATAAACACATATGAATTAGCATCTAAAACACATATCACAAATTATTAACTTAAACGAAAATGTAGTTGCAAAATATTCTAGAAAATAAACTCACTTGTTGGCGTACGGGAATGTAAAAGAATTCCGGTTTATTGGAGCAAGCATCGACATCCTAGGCCAACCCCACGCTTGTAGGAGATAAGCACAACCATAAAAGTATAGGTATTTTTTTTAGAAGTTTTGCAAAGTGCGCTATACAGATGGGCGAGGACAACTGATCCCCAACTATATTCGCACACTTTGTTAATATTTTGCAATAATGGTAAATACATAGTATGGACGGTATTTCCAGTGCCCTCTGGAAATAAAAAATGACCAAAAAAATCATAATATAGCACCGTGTTTTGACTATTATGTCATATTCGGTGCTATCATCAGTTAAGACAATATTGTTGTATTATTCTCGGAGGTATTTTAAATTAATTCCCTGACCCCTCGGGCGGCCTTCGCTTTCTGCCTAAGGTGCGTCCACACAAAGAGGGGCGCCCAATAAATCTTCGCAAAGTCGGTCAGGGATACCAACTTTGTCGTTGACGGCCTTACCATCGATGTGTAGGCTGAACAACATGTAGACGTCTTGGAGAGTCACAGTACACTCACCAAAAGGTAGGTGAAAAGTATGTGTCTCCGGTCTCCAGCGTTCTAACAACGCTAGAATAAACTTGCTATCAATAGAGTATGATTTGATTTCGACCACATCACCAAACCCACAATTACGAAGGTACTCCGCTATGAGCGGGTCGTGTGGTATATAATCATGCACACGACATCGAAACCTTGATACATCCTGCAAAATAATTAATGTTTCGTTAGACAAGAACTAAAATAACTAACATTTCGTTAGACAAGGTTGTAAACATAGACAAGAACAAAAGACTTACAAACTCAGCAATGTTTTCAGTCTTCCCTCTGTGAGAGTCGCCCATGGTGAGTAAAGACATTGTTGTTTGGGATGTTGAGATGTTGAGATGTTGAGAGTTTTTGAGTTTGAGAATTTTGTTTTGAGAGTTAGAAAGTTCGAGAGTTTGAGGGTTTGAGGGTTTTTGAGTTTGAAAGTTAGAGAGTTTGAGGGTTTGAGAGTAAGAGAGTTTAATTGTGAGCAGAGTTTGCTGGGCGAAGACCTTATATTTATATTCCGTGAGTGGATATTTGTTGTAAATGTATGCGGACAAGTGTGCTGATGCATGTATGTTGTGATCGCATGTGAGACAAGTGTACTGATGCATGCAGAAAGAGAATCTCGTAGGCCTGCATGGTCAATGTAGGCATGCAGTGTCACATGTGAATCGCAGAACTTTGCATTGTCCCGTCGCATCAAGGATGCTGCATGCAGCGTCACATGTGAATAAGCAGATTCCTTTATTGTCTCGTCTCATCAAGTCCTGATGCATATCATTGATGTAAATGCATGCGTGACAAGTGTACTGATGCATGTTATTGATGTAAACGCATGCGAGACAAGTGTACTGATGCATGCAGAAAGAGAATCTCGTAGGCCTGGATGGTCAATGTAGGCATGCCATGTCACATGTGAATCGTAGAACTTTGCATTGTCCCGTCGCATCAAGGATGCTGCATGCAGGGTCACATGTGAACAAGCAGATTCCTTTATTGTCCCGTCGCATCAAGCATGCTGCACGTAGATATAATTGAAATATGTAACGCCCCGATTCTGAATTTCCCATTTTGTTGAGTCTTTTGATTTATTTGATTGATTATTATTTCATTTGTGAAATTTGAATATTAATATGTTAAGTGTACATATTATGATATTTTATTATTCAGAGAGTTTTGGGAATTAATTAGAGGGTGTTTCAGATAATCCTTAATTAGTTGTTATTTGAGAGAAATAGAACAGAAAGAGTATAAGTGGAAATAGAGAGAAAATAAAAGAGATAGAAAGAAATAGAAAGGAAAGAAGAGAAAGGAGGAGGAAGAGGAGAAAAACCTAGAACCATCAAGAAGCAACTTCTAAGCTTCGATTAATCGGGTAAGGGTGTGAAACTTTATTATTCTTTTGATGTGTATGATTATGTATGTTCTGTTGGTTTGATTTTGGATTGGGGAGAGTTTTGCTCATGTTCCATTTTTAGGTCGAATTTGATTTAATCGGTAGAAACCGAGTTTTAACGGTTAAAAATGAGAATAAGTGGTAAAGTTTAGTCGAGGAATTTCAGACTAAGGCGGTTGGAACTGGTTTGGTGATAATCGATTGATTTTGGAAGGATTAGGCGATTTTGACAGTTAGGGATTTCTGAGTTCGCAGATTCGCTAGCATTTGCTAGGAGAATGGGAGCGAAGGTTCGCCAGGCGAATTCCAGCAAGTGGATAGCGAACCAAGTCAGTAGCCCAACTCTGTCTTTGCCAGTGAGTTTGCCAGGCGAAGGAGGCGGCGAGAGGCTTCGCCAAGCGAGTGTGGTAGCGAGTAGTAGCGAACACTTCCAGTAGCTACTGTCTGTCTTCGCCAGCGAGTTCGCCAGGCGAGTGTGGTGGCAAGCATTCGCCAAATGCTTCGCCAGGTGAAGGTCGGCAAATGTGACAACATTTTCTTTTGTTTCCTGTGCTTTCCATCCAATTGTCGATTGTTTGGTTTAATTATGTTTAATCCTTATCTGAATAGATAGTTTGTTTGCTGTTGTGATGTGATGTGCTGTGGGTAGCCGTAAGGCGTGAATCCTAGATCGTGAATCATGGAGTGTAGAATGTGGCCGTTTGGCATGATTAACGTGAATG